CCCCCCCCCCCAATTCCTCTGCACCCCACAGACCAAATCTCACACACACACACACACACACACAAGGTCCCAGCCCACAAGGGGAGGGCATGGGCGTCAGGATGGTGACAGGGCAGGGACCTAGAGCTGTGGGGCCCTTGTCATGCTGTGTCCTCTGCCCCCAGCCCCAGGGTTACTGTCCCTCCCACGTTGGAGCACTTGGAGTGTGTTAGGGGCAGCTCAAGGGGACGACTGGGGATCAATCACATCGACCCACTGCTAATGGGGACCAGTGCTGAGATCATCCAGGTGCCACCCATGGGCTGTCCCCAGCACCCACCCTGGCTGGAGTGACATCGTCCCAGGGAACTGGGCGTTGCTGCCCACTTTGTTGGGGATGCCATCAGGCACCTGGAGCTGGGGGTTGGTGGACGAAGAGGTGATGGTCAGGCCAGCAGGTCCCCCCCCCGAGTGACAGCCACTGCTGGTGGGGAGCAAAGGGGCTTTTCAGGGCTGTGGGTGTGGGTCTGGCACCAGGAGCCCACAGCCTCCCCAGTGCCCTGAGCCCCACCATGTCCCGGTGTTCCCAGCTGCTGGTGTCAGTGTAAGGAGGTGTGCAGTGTGAGGATGTGTATTGAGTTTCATTTTGTTTCTCCTCTTTGTTTCGCTAAAATCACCCAAGGGCACTGAGAAAAACGGGAAAGGAAATGCATAGAGACACAAACCTGGCCAATTAGCACCGATGAAGGGAACCTGGTCAGCTGCACTAATTAACAAAGACACGTGGGAGTGGGAACATGTTCATTGCAGCATGGTTAGCTGATGGAGGACATACTGACCTGGGGTGATGACAAAAGGGAGGCTGACAGAAACAGAGCCCAAGTCACAGCCCTTACAGAAAGGATGCCAAGAGGGTAGCAAGACCGAGTGCCCCGGCAGTCGCTCAGGCTGAGAGACCATCAGGGGATTAGAAGCGTCACTCCCAGGAAGGACAACTTGACCTTGGAAAGGAGGGGATGATGCTGGATGGGGGATGGGAGCAAGTCAGCGGGTGGAGGGAGGGGGTTTTTCACCTCCAGCCGTGGCAGGGGACTGAGGGACTCTGTGGCTGGAGCAGGACCCAGGGTTACATCCTGTGTGCCTGGCGCTGGCTGCTGGTGGGGGTGTGAGTGGCTGCACCCTGCCTCCTGCAAACCAAGTGTGCGGGGGGTGTGTGTGTGTATTCACCAGTAAAAACTTGGAGGTGGTTCAGCTGTAGAGGAGAGAAGGACTTTGGGTCTGGGCCAGCATATCAGGCAGATGAGGGTCTGTTCTGGGATGGTCTGAACATCCCTCAACAGCCAGAAGGGGCTCTACCCTAGTACCCTCCTGCTTGCTGTTTCACTCTACTACTTCTCCTTCATCTCCTTTCCCCTACATTGAGAGCAGCCCAGCACCTCTTCCCCCCACCCCCACTGTTCCTTGTCACCCTCCCAGGTACATCCATAACATGAGACCAGAGGAACCCCAGGCTGCTCTGCAGGCAGCTGAGCTGGAAGTCCTTGGTGGTACAGGAACAGGTTACACAGTGCTGGGGACCCTGCTGTCCTTCCTCTGAGGAGTGTTTCCAACTCAATGCCTGCTCCTGGTGGGGCTGGAGCCTGCAGAAGGGCAGTGCTGGCCCTGTCTCACCAGACTGTGGGGCCCTTGTTCACAACAGTGACATTTTTGGCCAGTTGACCTTGAAAATCAAACCAAAACAATAGGAAAAAAAAAAAAAAAGGAATTGAGCAAACCCAATTTTCCACTGAATTTGTGAGCTGAGCTGGCCTGCGGTCACTTGGCCCTGGGGAGGGCTGGGTGGGGAGCTGGCATCCTGCCTGCTGACATGCTCCTTGGCATCATTCTGCAGTCACAGGCTTAGTCCCATCAGGCAGATCCTCCAGCAGTGACCTCACCCAGCAAAGAGTGGGGGGAAAAAAAAATCACCAAAAAACCTGAATTGTCATGCAGCTCCTTCTTGCTCACTCCTTCAGGGTCCCTAAAGACAGTTGGGAGGTTGCCCTGGGTCTGAAGCAGACATTGGGAGCTGCAGGATTAAACAGGGCTTTGTGCTTTCCTGTGCCAAGAGCCTGTAGTTGGATTTGGAGCCTGCCTCAGAAGAAACCCCGGGGAACTGGTGGCAGCTGGGGGCTTCTCCTCCCATAAGCATATCAGCAGGGAGGACAGCTGATGGCATCAAAACCTACTTAGAAATCTTGGTCCTTGGGATAGAAAAGGTCTAAAAGGGACTCACTGGGGCAGTGAGTGTAAATGGCTGGGCAAGGAGAGCAGGTGCCCATAGCAGGGTGTTCCGCAGCCTGGCTCCCCGCAGCCCCTCACTGGAACATCCCCCTGGGATTTTATTTCCCCCTGACACAGCTGACGTCTCACACAACCTCAGATTCCTTGGTGGGAACAGAGGTTTCACCATCCTCTGTGTTCCTTCCTGTTCCATAAATCCACATCCAGATGCTGTGATTTACTTAATTATTTTTTTCTAACTGCTTAAGCTCAGCATGCAGAGATGGAAAAAAAAATTGTCTTTTGCTGGCTGAAACCTTGCAACTGTGGTGAAGGAGACAGTGGAGGGAGGGCACTGCCTGCCCTTTGCCAGCCCTGCCAGGGCTCAGTGGCTGCCAAGAGCTCATCCATCTCTTGGAGGAGCAGGGCCAGCCCTCAGCCACTCTCTGGGCTGCAGGAGACGAGGCAAAATAGCATGTGGTGGGATTTTGCCCTTTTGCAGCCTGTGTGACCTCGTGGTGGTCTCTGCTGTGCAGTGGCATGAGGTGCTTGGAGCCTGCTCTGTCTGTCCTTCCTCCCCTGTAGGGCAGAGCCCTTGCCCCTGCCGTGCTGGTGGCCAGAAGCCAGAGAAGCCTGGCCCTGAGGAGCGAAGGGCAGCTGCAGCCAAGCCCTGAAGTCATGGAGTGGGGGAGAGGGGAGGGCAGGGAGAGGGAGGCAGGGGAAGGAGAAGGATGCCAGGTGGGATGAAGGCAAACTGGGCAGAGGGGGGAGATGCTGTGGACACTACTGTTAGGCCACGGTGTGGCTGGAGGGGCTCAGCTCAAAGGCGACACTGCTGTCCCCATCCCCCCCAGAGCCCACACACTGCTGGAACTTGCTGGGGACCCTGTGATGCTGTGGTGGGACCTGCCAGGGTCTCTGTGACCGAGCTGCTGGCAGAGGAGCCAACCTGCCTCTGCAGTCAGAAACACCCCTTCACTCCCCGAGAGCCCAGTGCTGCCCCCCAAACCTATCCCTGGGGAGCCCCTGGTGGCACGCAGCCAGGCAGGGCTAATTCTCTCCCGGATGCCCCCAGCCCCCATCAGCCCCCAGGGAGTTTGGGCAGAGGCAGTGCTTTGGGAAACCCCCAGCCAAATAAAAAGTCAAGAAATGCCACTCATGGACAAAACGTTCCTCCGGCAGTGAGCATGGCAATGGGCAGGGGCTTCCTGTGCCCAGCGCTGCCTTGACAGCCCTTCTCCCTTTGGCACATGCCAAAAGTGGCCATGCCCAGTGTGGGGAAGGGGTTTTTGGCACCTTCTCCACATGAATGGGAAGCGATGTTGAGCCAAACTACCCAGAGCTTTGCCAGGGTGGCTGGGAGCAGGAAGAGGACTGAAGGTGGCTGTATTGAGGCATATCCCCCTTCCGGAGAACAGAGATGTGGGTGGCATCATGCCAGGGACAGCCCAGTGGCCAGGGTTTGGCTTGGGGAGCAGAGACATGCCCCAGAAAAGTCCCTTCCTCTCCCACAGGACTCATGACACATGGGATTTGGGTGCAGCCAGCCCACCTGGGTCAACCCCCAGTGACACAGCTGGTGAAGGGAAGGCAGCTGGTGAAGCCGTGCCAGAGGAGGACTCCCCCGTGCCAGTGTCACCCTGGCTCCAGAGGGCTTCGGGGAGAAGCACCCACGGCTCGTCCCAGTGGCAGGTGCACAACTGGTCCCCAGGATGTGGATGGGTGCCAG